AACAGCTGTACTTTTTATAAATTAAATACAGAGATGCCTTCTGCCAACATTTGAAATTGGCATTCTGCACAGCCAAAAACTCTGATCTTCTCTGTTATCTAATTTGGGATTTTAGCTACTATTTCCAGGCTGTTAACCTCCACATCTGGACTCTCAGTGATACCACATCAGGTTGCCCCTGCTGCTTCAGTATTGATCAGCAGCATCCTCTTCCCCAACAGGTGATAAATCTATTGGTAACTATCCAGGCTGCCCCAGCTTTAGGCAATTGTCTTCTTAAGAATTATAGTATTTATTCATTGGAGGATAATAAGACAAGGGAAGAAGTCAAATACTTTCGCCCGTTAATTTGCAGCCGTTTCATACAGAGCTATGCTTCACAGAGAAAAGAGCCTGCAGTTCAGATATTATATAATGTCCCCTACTTTGCATAAGACACTGCGAATGATTTTTTTTTTTACAAGATGCACTTTATTTATGAGCAGGTTCCTCCATAGAAAGAGCTTGTTAGGGCTTAATGCTGATGAATGGAGGCAGCACCATTCACACTTCCAGGTTATGGTCTGTCAGTGCTTTCATTATATGCACTAATTTACAAGGATTTATTTATTTTCTCACGAATGTAAAAATGTGCTCCAAGCTAAACATGCTGTCTGGGCATCTGAGGGAAGTGTATTCCTTGGCTGTTCGTCCCACCTCTATCCCACCCACCCTGCATCACTGCCTAACTTTGTGGTAATCGCACAGATCTATATATTTTTTGCTTGCTCTAAAAATGAATACTGGTTAAAATTTCAAACCCTGGAAGTGAGTCTTTTCAATGCAGTTTAATTCCTTTCTCATTCAAAGACTGTGCCTTCCACTGTGTTTTAAGTGCTAATGAAAACCCTGTCAAGTAAGCACATCAAGGGGCGTGACCCTTGGAACAAATTATGCCCACAGCATTGGGTAACAAATTTTGGAAATCTGGGTACAACTATATCAAAATATGAATGTCTTATTGAATCTGTGAGATCTTGCTAGCCCCAGATGGCTTTATGTGCTCTGAAATCACTCACGTCCCCATCTCTGAAGAATAAAATTTAAAATAGACTGGGCATGTGCTACCTCCTCCCACTCAGTCTAACAAACAGTAATAGATCATACTGCGTCATCAACATCCCTGGGCTCTACCGATACTCATTATGGGAGATGACCACGCCCCCTCCCGCTCCCCAGCCAAGTAATGGCAGAAATAATTCTCTTTTTCTTGCCCGTGATTTCCAGTTTGGTTTTTAACCTCAGTGAAAATTAAATACCCTTTAAACCTCACCAGCGAAGAGTTTGTAAAACTAGTTGTTTGGGGAATTTGTCTGTATGTTGGTTGTTTGGTTGGTTCATTGGTTGGGGTAGGAAAATGAGAGGAAATGAAAATATGTACATATAAAATATGCCTAGATGCATAAATAAAACACCTATCACACAGTCCCTCAAAGCCCTTTCTACTATTTCTTTTTCAACTCCAAACATCAGTATAATATTTAATTTAATTTAATTTAATTAAAGAATCTCAAAAATTGGAGTATTTTGGAATTTGGACCGCGATAAAAGAAATTGCTACACAAATATATGAAAGGAGAACATCCTACAAACTGTCAGCCAAATGAGCCCCGAAGGCCAACAGCGAGGATTTAATAAGCCTCATCTGTGGAGTTCAGCTGACAGGAACAGAGAGAGGGCAGTTCAGTGTTTAGAAGTTCACAAAAATTAAAAGTGGGAAAACCATGGAAGTCCAAGATTATCCTCCCCAGATCAGGCCAAACTCCACCCTCTGACGGGGGTGAGGAGTGTAGTAGTCAAGGAACAGAATGGTCCTCCCTGATGTCAGCATAAAGATGTATGTTTCTGTACTGCTAGTTTCTGGAGGAATACATTTGTCTATACCTTTTGGGAATCTGTTTCAATTTTCAGGGATTTGATTCTCTAACTTTATCATCTCCCAGTTAGAGCAGCACTTTCACAGTATCCTCTTAGTCTTGCTTTCCATGTACCTGAATTCTTCGTCCTTTAGCGCGCACAGAACTTGCCATTCAGTATGCGTTTGGTAAATAATTCATGATTTTATACACTTCAAGCCTGTCTGCTCTTAGCCTTTCTCTCTTCAGATTTGAGTCTTGATCTTTCAGTTCATCCTCTTATGACAGCCGAATTTCCAAGTTCACCTTCAGTGATATTGAATACAGAGGTCATAGAAGGTGATCCCAAAGCATAGGCCTGCCACACACCAGACCAAATTCTAGGCATTTAAGAAATTGATTTCGCCAAAACACAAAGAAAAATAGAAAGCAGAAATACCCCTTGATTCATCTTCAGTCCAGATATTCTGGAGATGAAAGAAATGTTCCTATGCCATCATCCTTTGACCTGCCGCGGCCTTAAAAGTCTTTTTAAAAACCTTCTTTAAGGTCTTTATGCCACCCAAAATAATAAAGGGACTTATTGACATGGAATTCCCCTTGTTTGGACATGCTGGTTTCCTTGGAGAACTCACCAAAACATAGATGACTTTAGAGGCATTCAGGGAAAGTTAAGATGAATTTGGGGCTTCCCTGGTGGTACAGTGGTTGAGAATCCGCCTGCCAATGCAGGGGACAAGGGTTCCGAGCCCTGGTCCCAGAAGATCCCACATGCCGCGGAGCAACTAAGCCAGTGCGCCCCAACTACTGAGCCTGTGCTCTAGAGCTGGCGAGCCACAACTACTGAGCCTGCGTGCTGCAACTACTGAAGCCGGCGCGCCTAGAACCTGTGCTCTGCAACAAGAGGAGCCACCGCAATGAGAAGCCCACGCACCACAACGAAGACCCGATGCGGCCAAAAATAAATAAATTTATTTTAAAAAATGAATCTGTAACTTTTATAGATGTTAAGGATTAATACTTCATGAGGAACATCAGGATTAATCAAAGTACATCATAAAGTCGAGCCTTAATATTAACCTCCTGCCAATGAACTAACTCGTCTACAGGCAGTTTATTAAGTTGGGTTTATTAAGTTGGCCAGGAAAATTATTGTGCGTGTGTGTGTGCGTGTGTGTGGGTGCACGCATGAGCACTAAGGACGTGCTGGTTGTCACAGATCTTCCTAACTTTAACATACATTCTGAGTTTCACAAGGTCTGAATAAAGGAGAACTAGGAAAAGACTAACTTGTAAACGAATTTGAAAGTAATGCCATGTGGTTATTTTCAAAGTAGCAAGGGAAGCAGGAGTTGAACCATATGTTCTTTATCAGTGTCTGACACTTTTTAAATGCATTATTTCATCAGATACTTACTACAACCTAGGCATAGAATTACCAACTCATCCTAGTTTGTCCAGGACTGTCGCAGGTTTAAAACTGAACCCTGCCTCAGTCCCAGGCAAGCCAGGACAGTTGGTCACTTTAGCCAAGTAAAGCAATAAAAGGTGTTCTGAGACCAATTTCCAGCATGGGGAGAACCACCACCAACAACACCAAGCAATTCTACACCAGTTGAGTGTTCTACGATTTCACTTAATTCTGACGCGATTTACCCATAAATAGTATCAGATCCCACAGGTTAAGGGGTGAGTCCTGCAAGACTGCCTTCTCCCAACACCACTTCACATGCCAACCACAAGTCCAGGTTGTCACCTGTGTTTCTGACAGAACTGCTGTAGATAGGAAGTTCCAACAACTCCCTTCTTGGGTTCCATTATTTTGGTAGAGCGGCTCAGCTAACTCAGAGAAACAGTTTACTCACTAGATAACTGGTTTATTATAAAAAGGATGTAACTCAGGAAGAGCCAGATGGAAGAGATGCATGGGGCAAGGTATGGGGAAAAGGAGAGGACGCTTCCAGGCCCTCTCCAGGTGCACCATTCTCCCCAAATCGCCCTGTGTTCACCAACATGGAAGCTCTCCAAAGCCTCTCCTTCTGGGTTTTCAGTGGAGGCCTCATAATCATAATTGATTAAATCATTGGCCATTGGCCTTTGAACTCAATCTCCAGCCCAGGTCAGGAGGTGGGACTGAAAGTTCCAATCCTCTAATCACCAGGTTGGTTCTGGCAACCAGCCTATTCTTCGGCCAAAGTGCGGCCAAAGTCACCTCATTAACATAACAAAAGTCACCTTTATCTCTCTCACCACAGGCAATCCCAAGAGTTTTAGGAGCTCTGAGTTAGAAAAGGGAAGGGAGACCAAAATTCTTTATTATAAATCGCAATATCACAGGCAGATAATCTTTCCCATATTTTACCAAAGAGGAGGCTGAATGACTCAAAGTCACACATCAGTTGTAAGTGGTGCATTCAGTATTAGAACCCCAGCCTTCTAACTGCTTTTATATATTTTCCAAGAAACAAGACTGTAATTAGCACAGTGTGTAAAACTACTGTGAGAATTTTATTGACTTGTATTTTTTCTAGAAGCTTAACCATTCCTTTTGTGACACCATAATTTTGCTCTCCAGCTGCCCTCTTAACAGATAATACAGAGAAAAAACTCAGTCCAGTTTATCAGAATTATTACAGACTCTGTTAACTGAGAGTGAATTGATGAAAATAATTTTAATGCTTTCCAAGTCAGTTATTTCTAATGCAACTATGAAAATAAGCAGCGGCCTGTGCATCTGCACTCTAAAAGAAATGTAACATACACTGCCTCCCCTGTCTTTTCCCATTTGTCTTAGAGGATTTTTTTTTTTTTCTGTTTGTGGGAGTAAGCAAGTATCAGGGGGGTGGAAATGTAAAACTGGACAACAAAATTATTAGACTGGCTTTCTCTCCACATATTACATTTTGTCGTTTCTTCTCAATACACAGAGGAGTGAATGTGTGTCCAAACAAACCTCTCCCGTTACTGTTCTGTCTGTGCTGAGCAAAATTGAATCCATATGTCTTTAAAATGACTTTTCATTTCTATGGCTTCTTTCAAAATACTGATCTTGGTACAAATGTGGCCCCTCTAGACTACTAATGCTCAATTGCTCCTCCCCAACAGGCATCACAGTTGATAGGCATGGATTCATTTACTTTGTGGATGGGACTATGATTCGGAGAATTGATGAGAATGCTATGATCACAACTGTAATCGGCTCAAACGGTCTGACTTCCACACAGCCACTGAGCTGTGACTCGGGAATGGACATCACTCAGGTAGGCACCAATGGTTTTCAAGCGCTATCACCATTTGGCATCATGGAAATGGATAACAATTTTCTCATACAGAAATTAGGTAGGAAGGAAGCCTGGCATATCCATTATAACACCAGATAGCAGAAGTTTCTCTTTATGTAAGTTACTTTCTTCCTCCTCAGAAAAACTCAGTTGAGAGAAAAGAGTAAACTAGGATGGGAGTACCACTGGGTGGAATGTTGGCGTGAACATTAAAGTCTCTCAAATTTGAATCAATTAGAGGGTAAGGCCAATTTCACTTATTGACTATGGTCCAAGATATGTAATTTTATTATTTTTGAATAATACAATAACTCACATTTGGAAAAGTACTGACTACTAAAGTCTGGAAATCTTTTTTAATGAATATATGAGCATGACTTATTATTCTTGTCTATGTAAATAGCTATTTCTAGGGCGGTTTTTTGTGTTGTTGTTGTTTTTTTTTTTTGAAGTAAAAGCAACATTCCCTCTGAGGTCTATCTTACGTGTATTTAGGAGAGCCTTTTGCCTATGAGAATAAAAGTGAAAATTCAGTGTAGTTCCCGTCTGAGTTCAAAATTCTGATTTTACCAGAATTATGCAAAATCAGGATTAGACAGGTAGAGATTACAGAGCATAGAGCACAGTCCCAACACCTTGTGGATGACTTTCTTAGTTTGCAGACACAAGCAGTTGGTATGTTCAGTGAGGGAAACAGACTAGACAGTCGTCAAAGGCACTTTCAAACTAACATTCCATGAATCTATGACTCTGATGAAGTAGATTATTTATCTTTTCAAGTGAATCACAGTAGAAGTTGAGAGTTTCAGAATTGGTTAGTGTATCAGAGAGGATGGTTTTGACTGCAAGTAGTAAGACACTTAACTAAAAGTGATTTGGACAATAAGGTTTCATTAATTCACATAGTGAGATGACCAGAAGTAGGCAAAGATGCCGGCAGATTTCCTTCTTGTGTCACATTGGCCAGAAGTGAGTCACTGGCAAAGGGGAAATGGGATCTCCAAAATGGATTCAGACCCTCTGGAACTGGGTCAGCCTCCCTGAGCAGACTGCTACCTAATTCTAGAACCCAAATCAGGGTTCTGTTAGCAAGGAATGAAGGATTGCTCTTCAGTAGGCAACCAGCAATATTCTCCACGGTTAGGCTGCCCCGCCTCACCCCAGAACCTCAGAAAATAGTCAAATAGAGTCAACTACAAAAATAAAATCGGAATTGGAAGGCCTGGAAAACTGACAAAATGAATGAACACTCTTTAAGAGAGATAAGAGAGGATCAGGCTATCAAGTCCTAGAGCAGCCTAACTTTCCACGATGCAAAGTCCTGCGGGAGGCAAGCAAAAGGAGCATTATTTATGGCAGTGAGGAAGGGCGTGAATGTGTTTACATGGAGGAGGGGGACGAAAGAGAGAAGATGCACGTATATGATTCACTTGTGGGATAGTTTTAACTTAAAATAGAACACTTAGTATTGCAGTCAGTCAGCTCTAAACAATTTATGTGTTTCGGTGTGGAAAGTTATGCTGAAAAGAGAATTCTTTGTCTAAATAGAGCAAACATAGGATCTTCATCACCATGAGAAGGGTCCTTTTTCACACGACACCTTGCAAGCCATAACTGCCGCCGTAAAAGCTACCTCATCCCGTTCAGCTTGGCACGCAGAGTGCAGCCCACCGAACAGGAGACAGAGTCACAGTTTCTCTATGGCATTTCATTCCAAGCCTCAGTTTCCCTGACAGTAGCCCCCTTCCCTTTTCCTTACACAACTTCGGCTTGAGAAAAACAGTCATTTTGGGGGGGGGAGGTGGGGAGGAGATGGAGAGTTAAGTGGGGTGGGTCAGGGTACATGTTCGAAACCAGCAGGACAGCCTGGGAGAGGAATCAGGCTTCATGTCCACATTATTTTGGCTTCTATCTCCGCTGCTGGCCATCTCTTCGTGTTGTGTGCTTCGAGCACCCTAAAGAGTATCTGGCATTTTTCCTCTTAGGCCGGCACAGGACCGTGAGTCTGGACTGATGTCTACTTGTCCAGAGTATGACCTTCCACTTTTATTAGGAGGCTGCTTCTCATGGCCCCGATCCTTCAGACTGGAATTTCTTCTGCTGGTCCAGATCCCCTTCCCTACCCTCCTTACACCTCACCTCTTCCACGGGACCCTTCCCTAATGCTTCTGATCCCCTCTGTGGTCTCATTCCCTTCCTGGAATTTAACATCACAATGTTTAATATATAATCCGCTCTCTGTTGCCAAACTATGTATCTAATGAGTTTCCCACTGTACCTTCTTTGGACATGTACAGTAAGTGCTCAGCAGGCATAGTTAACACATATGCCAATATGAAAAAGACACTGTATGGTACAAAGAATATGAAGGAGTTAAGTGCGGACAATGTGGTGAAGGACCTTATAAGCGTGATGGAGTTCCAGTTTTATCCAGCGGACAATGGGGAGCCAATGAGAGCATTAAGCAGGAAAATGCATTTTTAAAATAGTCTTAAACATGGAAATTCATTTTTAAAGGAGCATTCTAGCTGTAGTATAGAGAATCAAGTGGAGGGAAACAGTATTAGAGGCAGGGAGACCACTTAAGAGGCAGTCAAAGCAATATAGGTGAGACAGGGACAAAACATCAATAAATAAATGATTAGTCCCTTTTCAAGAAACTTTAGTGCAAATTAAATTGCTTTCCAAATTTTTTTGTGGCTGTTCAGGTGATATTTCTTTGAGATACAACTCCGTGATGACCCTGACCGTGAAGCTGCCCAGCTTCATGCGGGTTACATAGGCACGCAATGAGAATGGCCAAGCCTAAAGTCTCAGCAGTGTGGATTGAGAAAGCGAGACAGATTAGTGAAATATTGGAGCTACAATCAAAGAACTTGCTGACTGACAATTTTGGAATTAAGGAAGTATGTGTATAGTGGTGCCATTCGCTGAGATAAGAAATACAAGAAGAGGAGAAGCAAGTTTGGGTGAGGGTTGGGTGAGGGGTTTATTTGGGGGCAAACTGTGTTTGAGGTACCATTGCATGTTCAGGTAAATACATCTGGCAGGCAACTGGATATCAAGGCCTAAAATGGAGATGAGGTTTGGGATTATCAGTTTTATCCCATGGTAATGGCAAATAGGGAAGTGGGTGAGATCTTCCAGGGAGGGTACATAAGCAGAAAAAAAGAGAAGGCTTCAGACCAAACTCCAACGATAACAATATTCAAGAGAAGAATGAGGAATAGGAACCCACAAAAAGGAGACTGAGATGAAGAGACCCGACAAGTAGGAAGAAAACCAGGAATGCATGTGGTCCAAAAACGCAAGGGAAGCAAGCTTTTCAAAAGGAAGGGAACGGTTAATATCAAATGCTGCTTAGAGGTCACGTAAAATAAGGTGTGTTTTTGTTGTTGTTGTTGTTGTTGTTGTTGTTGTTTCTGCGGTATGCGGGCCTCTCACTGCTGGGGCCTCTCCCGTTGCGGAGCACAGGTTCCGGACGCGCAGGCTCAGCGGCCATGGCTCACGGGCCCAGCTGCTCCGCGGCACGGGGGACCTTCCCGGACCGGGGCACGACCCCGCGTCCCCCGCATCGGCAGGCGGACTCCCAACCACTGCGCCACCAGGGAAGTCCTGGCAGGCGGATTCTTAACCACTGCGCCACCAGGGAAGCCCTGTTGTTGTTTTAAGAAGCCATTTGGTTGGACAGCATTCGTGACTCTGATAAAGAGTGCCTTTGGTACAGTGCAATTTAATTGGAGTTGGACTGCAGTGGTAGAGTGGGAGGTGAGGAAGTGAAGGAAGTGAAAATAGATCACTCTTTTGAGATGTTTGGCTGGGAAGGGGGAGGATCTGGCACTGAAGCAAATCAGCACCCAGTTGCGGCACAGGTGGACAAAAGCTGGACGACACCAAAGGAAATGCTCTGGGTCAAAGTGTCTACCGGGAGGAAGCCAGCGCGTGGCACAGCTTCCCAGGTGCTCAGCCTCTACGGACAGAGTTTCCACTGTCTGTTTAGACAATGGTGGCAGACTGGGGACTTAGGTTTCCCGTGACTCTGCTTAAGAACATGGGCTGCCTTGAGCTGGAAGGAAGAAAGCTGAGTAGGGAGCTTCATAACACCTTCCAAGAGGAAAGCCCCAGTTGTTTATAGTAGTACTTACAGTGATCCAGCTGAGCTTCCAGTGCTCAGTTTTATATTTCAGTAAATCAAAATATATTGATGGGTGAGGGTAGAGACAAATGTCTAAATGAGAGCACACAGATTCTGCTGACAGGCAGAGGCAAGAGAAAAAATAGAGGCCTGTTCTGCAGCATGAAGATTTGAATCAGACCTTATGAAGAGCTTACTGATTCTAAGACAATGTGGCAGTATCATACATTATCAAAAGATCTTATAGAATCCCCACCTTCTGAAACTTTTAAAGCAAATGTTGGATAGCAGTAATCTATGAATGCTTGGAATACAGGCCTCTCTGGAATCAGGAAGATGGATCAACTGTTTTCTCAAGGGCCCTTACAACGTCATGAAGGTTTCTCTACAGAAATATAACCCAATTGCTGAAGTTCCTTGTTACTCTCCCTACATTTCAAAACCAAAAGGTCCTGGGCATTCTCGGCCTGTCCAGTGGTTAGGACTCAGTGCTTCCACTGCCTGGGGGGCCTGGGTTCGATCCCTGGTCGGGAAACTGAAATCACACACACACACACAAAAGTCCCCAACGTGGGAAGGCCCATTCATGCTAGCATAGTATAATACCTTTGGAAGCTGGGACGTGATGCCTTTGTTTTCTGTTCTTTTCTGAGGAAAACGTGAGCCCCTGGGAAGAATCAATCCTCAAAAGCGTGCCCTAATCCTCAGGAGATTGTGAATATTCTCCTTCTGTTAATTCTAATAATAACTGCTACTACTTATTGAGAGCTTACTATGTGCCAGGAGCTATGCTAAGCATCTTACTCACACTGTTCCTTTTTATCTCCACTACCCAACCACCCTT